CCTCCTCCTCTCGCCCCCCCACCCGGCCCCAGCCTCCCCCCCCCTCTTCTAGCCTAGCCCCTGAATCAAGAGCGAGGGGTGTCGCGTCCCCCCCACCCCCCTTTAAGGAAAGGGGCGAATTTACCCCCGCATAGAGAACATGCAAGCAGCCCCGAACGCGCCTTGCAAGGCCTCCGCGCTCCTTCCCCAGATTTGGGATTGAGAGATGGAGGGGTGGGGTGGGGAAGAAGGGTTCCCCCAATGCACCCCAAAAGGTGCATGTGGGGGAAGGGAAGAGGGGGCAGGAGCGCAAGGAGAAAGGGGCGCAAGGCCCAGCCCGGGATAAGGGAGCAATTGGGGGGGGGGGGATAACAGCCAGGCCTTGATGGTGGGGAGGGGGAGAGACACTTAACTGTTGCCCGGGGCGCAGCTGGTGGCGGCTGGTGGCGGCTCCCGCGTTTCAGGCAGAAGCAGCTTTTCATTGCCCGGCAGGGCGGGGACCGGAGCGGAGGAAGAGGAGGAGGAGGAGGAAGAAGAAGAGGAGGAGGAGGAAGAGGAGAAGAAGAAGCGGCAGCGGGTGGGAGGGAGGGAGGACGAGGAGGAGGTGGAGGAGGCCCGGCTGGGCCCGCAGAAGGCGACGGTCCTTACCGGGCGTGCAAAGGCGAGGCCCCCCAGCCCCGGGCAGATCCCAAGCGGAGCAGCCCGTCAGCAGCCGAGCGAGGGCGGAGGAAAGCGGCGGCCGAGGCGAGCTGACACCGCTTCCCACCCAGCCGGGCGCTGCTCCGACGCCGCCGCCTTCGCCGCCGCCGCCGCCGCCGCCGCGCTATAGCCACAGAGCCCCCTGCCTCCCGGAGCCCGCACTGCCGCTGCCTCGCTCGGCCTCCCCTTCGCCGCCCACCGGCCCCAGGCAGAAGCGGCGCAGCCAGCCAGCCAGCCGTGGCAAAGCCACAGCCAACGCCGCCCGTTCCCCTCCGGCCTAGCTGGCCCGGCCGTGCGCGCCCAGGGCGCACGAGGGGGACCCCCGAAGCCGTCTCCAAGGCGCGCCCGCGACGCACCGCCCTCCCGACGGGCTGCGCGAGGGAAGGAGAGAGGATCCAGGCCCGGCGAGGGCTGGGGGGCGCACCTGCCTTTCCGCCGGCTTTGCTCGCCTGGCAGGAGGAGAAGCACGGGGGTCGGTGGGGGGCTTTGATCCTCGAGGGGCGCTCTTTTGGGGTGCTCCTCTTTTCTAGCTGCATCTTCTTTTGCAAGGAGTTTCAGTATTTGGCTTTATGTTTGTTTGTTTTGCACGCTGATCTATCAACTATCATCTACTGGTATCTATCTATCTATCTATCTATCTATCTATCTATCCATCCATCCATCCATCCATCCATCCATCCATATATCTCTATCATCTATCTATCTATCTATCTATCTATCTATCTATCTATCTATCTATATCTATATCTATATCTATCCATTATTTATCTATATCCATCCATTCATCCATCTATATCGATCTATTTATCTATATCTATCTATCCATCCATCCATCCACATATCTCTATCCATCCATCCATATATCTATATCTATCTATTTATCTATATCTATCTCCATCCATCCACCCATATATCTCTATCTGTCTTTCTGTCTATCCATCCATCCATTTATCTATATATTTATCCATCCATCCATCCATATATCTATATCTATCTATCTATCTATCTATCTATCTATCTATCTATCTATCTAT